TTTCATCTTTGTAACCATCGATTATTTCACCAAGTGGGTAGAGGCTGCTTCTTATGTCAACGTCACTCAATCTGTTATTTGTAAGTTTTTGAAGAAAGAGATCATATGTCAGTATGATTTACCTGAAAGGATCATTACCGATAATGCTACAAACTTGAACAATAAAATGATGAAGGCTGCTTGCGAGCAATTCAACATAAAGCATCACAATTCTATTACTTACAGACCAAAGATGAATGGCGCAGTAGAAGCAGCAAACAAAAAAGTTAAAAAGATAGTGGAGAAAACAACCGAGACCTACAAGGACTGGCATGAGAAGTTGCCTTTCGCTTTGTTCACTTACCAAACCTCGGTACGAACCTCGATTGGGGCAACCCCAATTTCACTAGCCTACGGAATGGAAGCATTGCTGCCAATTGAAGTAAAAATTCTGTCATTACGTATCTTGACAGAAATTAAATTGGATGACGTAGAATGGGTGCAATCCAGATATGATCAGCTTAATCTGATAAACGAAAAGAGAATGAAAGTCATTCACCATGGTCAAATCTATCAAAAACGAATGATTCGAGCACATGACAAGAAGGTACGCCCAAGAATATTCTGTGAAGGAGATCTGGTGCTAAAAAGAATTTTTCCAGTTCAGAAAGATTTTCGAGGAAAATGGACGCCAAATTGGGAGTGACCTTATGTCGTGAAAAAGGCCTTCTCCGGAGGAGCCCTTGTCCTGGCTGAAATGGACGGGCCTGAACTGCCACATCCCATCAATTCAGATGCAATAAAGAAATACTTCGCTTAGGATGAAAACCCGAAAGGGCTTCCTAAGTCGGAGAAAGAAAAAACCAAAAAGAACAAAAAGTGAAAAACGTTTAGGGTGAAAACCCGAAAGGGCGCCCTAAATTGAAAAAATGAAAAAGAGAAAAAAGAACAAAATAAGGTGGGTTCAAGATGAAAACCCGTAAAGGGCGTCTTGCAACCAATGATGGGTCCAAGTTGAAAACTCAAAAGGGCAATTTGGACAATTCAAGAAATCAAGACAGTTGAAACTCCCCGTCATCTGAATTTTACACAGACTCAACGAGTCGGAGAAAGGTTGCACTCTCCTGAATGTTGTCACATTCTCAAAGATCCTTTGGCAAAGGCTGTATTCAAGGTCACCTAACGGCTTTTCAGCTCAGAAGTGCCCACATTATTGAAATCTAAGACGTTCATTTACACCCCATCATGTCTTCATCTTCCAGAATATTTGCCATGTATTATTTGTTCTTTTTTCCTCATGAATAAAAGACAGTTTTTTTTCTACACAAATTCCTTTTGAGCATCTTGGATTGAGCTTAAACTTAACGATTTATTTACTTATGCAAAAGATATTTGCATATTATTGTACAAAGATTCATTGAAAAGTACAGGTACTCGGAAGCCGATCGAGGCTCATGCATATACTTGAGATGGTCGAGAAGCATTTCCCAGATCAAGGATATAAAAAAAGGAACATCAGATTTGAACATTGAAGAATTCAAGACCAGGGATCGAAACTTCAAGATTTCAGACAGGCAACCGGAGTTTGAGTTTTCTCTCCAGAGCCCCAAAAAAACATATATGCATAGCTTTTTCAGCGGCAAAGAATATTGAACTCAAAGCGACACAATTTGATCGAGAGTAGATTTCAACTTCACGACGAAGGATATCTAGCTCGAAGAAAAACTTCACAATAAAGGGGTCATCCACGGTTTCGACTTCACGGCGAAGGGAATCGTGTCCACCCGTAGCATACGATACTTGGATTTCAACTTCACGACGAAGGATATTCAATTCAAAGCTCAACTTCACGAAGAAGGGGCCATCAGCGATTTCAACTCCACGACAGAGGATATTGCGCCACTCGAGATAACACAAGTTCAACTTCACAACGAATGGACGACTGGTTGTCAACAAACCACTTTTCAGTTTCATTCATAGCCAATTTCAACTTCACAGCGAAGGATATTGGACCCAAGACAACACAAGCTCAACTTCACGACGAAGGGGTGGCTGATTGTCAACAAACAACTTTTCAATTTCATTCAGATTCAATTTCAACTTAACAACGAAGGATATTGGACTCAACACAACACAAGCTCAACTTCACGATGAAAGGGCGGCTGATTGTCAACAAATAATTTCCCAGTTCCAGAACCAATTTCAACTTCACGGCGGAGGATATTGGACTCAAAGCAATACAACTTACTTGGATTTCAACTTCACGACGAAGGATATCCAATTCCAGGCTCAACTTCACGACGAAATGGCCACCCGCAGTTTCAACTTCACGACGAAGGGAATCATGAACACAAGCAGCATCCATCTATAGATTGGATTTCAACTTCACGACGAAGGATATCCAACTCAAAGAAGAAGTATATGTCAATAAACTTTCCAGTTTCAAAGTCAATTTCAACTTCACAGCGAAGGATATTGGCCTCAAAACATCACAACTTACATTGGATTTCAACTTCACGACGAATGATATCCAACTCCAAGGTTCAACTTCACGTCTAAGGGACCATATATGATTTCAACTTCACGACGAAGGGAATCATGCTCACCAGCAACAGTTACCTTTAGATTGGATTTCAACTTCATGACGAAGGATATCCAATTCCATGCTCAACTGACGAAGGGTCCATCCAGGATTTCAACTTCACGACGAAGGATATCGTGTTCATTTGCAACATAGTTCAAGTCGAGAAGGGTTATCTGCTAACAAAGACCTTCTATTTTGACTACGCTCAGCTCCAAGGCACATCATTTACAACATAACACAAGGCTAGAAGAATTATCTGTCAACAAAGACCTTCGAGTTCGATTCCATTCAGCTCCAGGGCGTATCAACCGCGTTGCATTAGCAAAGAACTACTTTTCGGTTAAATGTTTACACCCAGGTCTTTAAATCGAGAAGAAGACCAAGGTCAACCAAGATTGGTAACAAAGAGACACAATTTGATTCACCCACAATTTAAACTTCACGAAGAATGATATCGTGCCCAATGGATTGACTTAGTGTCACAACAAACACTATCAAGTCTCAAATCAAAGAGAACCGGACAAAAACTTGTTTTCTTTTTTCGTTTTTGCCCTATCCTTGTTAACCCAACAATGTGCAAAGAGGGGCAGCTGTAGACACCCGTTTTTATCCGGGTCTACAAAAAAATATTTATTTATTTATTTTTTATTATTATTATTTATAATATTTTTTTAATTTTTTTAGGCCCCAGGAGAACCCCACGATTATTAAATTGTTTCTCTTCATGGGAACGTGGGCACCTATCCATCTTCTCCTAGAATTCAGCTGTAAGTATCCATGGGAGTCAGGGCCAACATCTCTACTTTGTCCTCTTAATAAGGACTATAAAGATCCATATCCAATGGAACATGGGGGAGGTGCAATTTCGTTGAGGTGGGGATGGAAAGTGAGATTTTCAAGGTTTAATCTCCTTGTCGTCCTCCCATATCTTCACACTGAAACATATTAAAACAACAATTCGCCTCCGGTTCATGATGAACCAAGAACTAACAATATTGTTAATAAGGAGTGACCCAGCTCTAGGGATAACAATCAAGAACAAGAAGAATGGGATAAAGGTTGGCTTCAACTCAGTATAGGCGGTCGAGACTCTCGCATCAAAGCCAGCATGATCTGCTCCAACTTGTTATCCTTCTTCACTTAATCCAATGCTGAGCCGCATTATATAGATGATTTGGAGAATGTTTTAGAGGAAGAGAGTTTTGATGGATCGAAAAAGAAGAAGCTGCTTTATTTTCCTGGGAAAATTGAGTCAAATTCATGGAGCTTTCGTTTTTCCAAGTCTTCTTCTTGTTCGTCTTCATCTGCGTCTAGGCATCGCCAATCACGATCTGATCTGTTTCTAGAAGGAGGGAATGCTAAGCTTTCTCAGTAATACAATTTGGAACATCATCTTGGAAATCGAAAGGTGTAGATACAACTTAAGCATAATTTGCAAGAGCAGGAGCAGCGCCGTTAACTTCCCGATGGATAAACCTAGCTGAAATGTGAGAATGAGCGGCCAAGAGTTGACGAACGTCGCGAATATTGAACTGTTGAACAACATTCCAGCAATCACTTTCAATCACCACCCTCGACAACTCAATACTCATCGCCAATTGGACATCATATGTGATCGCCAAAGCTTCCACAACACTTGCTGAACGAGGAACACCAACAAGGAACGCTTGTCCTGTTATAACCACGCCATCACTATTGCCCAAAATCTTGCCAATTGCTGGTAGAGCAGGTGGCCGAGGGAAGGCACCATCGACTTTCAACTTGAAAGTACCTATCGTAGGTTTAATCCAACAAAGAAGATGGTAACATTGAGGAGATCAGCTAAGATGGTGTCCGACCCACATAAATTCGTTTTAAAATGGTAGGTGGCGACTCCTAACCCAAATTCATTCAAGTCGAAGCCCGATTCCGGGGTCCAACTGAAAGACGGTTTCGACAAATTTAATTTATTTAAACGACGTCGTTTTGATTTCGTGTGTCATGTCATAACACCATTAAATAATTAACGTCGAAATGATTAAAAGTTGAACAATGTTAAAGTTCAATGAGTAAACGGAAAAAATTGAAAGTACATTAAGTAAAATAGAAAAGAGAGTTAGGTTCAGTAAGTAAACATGTAATTTATCAAATATTAGTTTTTGTAAAATAAATATAAAAATATTTTAAATTTTAAAAATATATACTAATTATGAAGTTTGATTATTAATGGCATAGATAAAACAACTTGCGGAATTTAAGAAGGATCAAATCCAAAGGAAAAGCCTAAAACTAAAATGTATCCGTTAAAGATTTATTAAAGACAAATTTATTATATTTTCGAATTTTGAAAATTCAAAATCCTTTGATCTTTCCCAATATAACCCGCAACGGTTCATAAACCCCAAATCTCCATCATCTTCTTCTCCACTTTCCCTGCAATTTCAAGCTTCCAAAAAATATGGGTGCCTCTGGGAAATGGCTTAAATCACTTATAACTTTCAATCAAGTAATTTCCCTCAACCTTCTTTTTTCCTTGGTTGTACTTGTTTTTTAATTTTGTAATTGGGATTGTAGGAGAAGGTGGGAGACAAGACGAAGAAGAAATGGAGGCTGTGGAGGAGCTCGTCGGAAGGTTTGGGATCCAAGGGTCTCAAATTGTGTCACGTGGCTGCCTCTTCATCAGAGGCCTCCAATTCATCTTCCATGGCGGATGATGCGCTCGCTTCAGCTATGGCTACCCTAGCTCGTGCGCCACCCAAAGATTTCAGAGCAGTGAAGCGAGAATGGGCCGCCATTCGAATCCAGACTGCATTTCGAGCCTTACTGGTATACCCTCGTACTTTCTGTACTGCGTATTGTCCATGGCTAAAAAAAGTTCTAAATAGATATTGTCTAGTAATCATTTCAGACTATTCACTATTCCATGCATGCAGTTTTGCATTTTCTTTAATGGACAATTGTACCTAACTTAACTGAGTTTCAGAAAGGTCTACCCTTTGAGGAATGGATGGATCTTGGTTTGATATAAACTTGCAAAAGCATGATTCTTGGTAAACTTGAGTTGTGACAGTCTTTTAGTAAGAATTAGTTAATCCTTGGGTAATTGGCCTTGTTTATCATTTCAATTCATGTTTAACCCTTGCTCTAATATCCAATTTAATGGTGATTGTCCTTGATGAAATGCTCTCAGGCAAGACGAGCCCTAAGGGCCTTGAGAGCTGTCGTAAGGATTCAAGCTATTTTCCGAGGTCGTCGAGTCCGAAAGCAAACTGCTGTGACATTACGGTGTATGCAAGCTCTTGTTAGAGTCCAGGCTCGAGTAAGAGCCCAATGTGCCATACCTCCTGAAGGACAAGCTATGCCCAATGAATGCCACAACCAAACTGATCCGGCTAAACAAGCTGAGGTTAAACATTATCCATCATACTTGCTTCTACAATTGTAACTCTTTATCTATATGATAACGATATGCTAGCCGATATCAATTTTCAGGAACATTGGTGCGACAGCATCGGAACATTGGACGAATTAAGAGCGAAAAAGCAAATGAGGCAAGAAGGTGCAATCAAGAGGGACAGAGCAATAGCATACTCTGCCCTGAACCAGGTATCCTAGAGAGAGAAACTTCTTTAGTACGCCACTTTTGTATGCTTGGTTTTTCTCCTGTGATAAATATGTAAAACTTTTCCTGCAGACAAGATCGTATGCGTAGGCCTGTAAACGAACCGAACGCACACGAACGGAGGTATGTTCATGTTCGTTCATTTAATAAATAGACGAACATAAACGAACACGAACATAAACGAACAAAAAATTTTTTGTTCATGTTCGTTTATTAAGGAATATAATATGTTCATGTTCGTTCATTTAATAAATAAACGAACATAAACGAACACGAACATAAACGAACACGAACATAAATGAACACGAACATAAACGAACATAAACGTTGGAGACCCTACCTTCTATTGTTCTTTCATGAAAAATAGTCGACAATGCAAATAACCAAATCTACAGTGATAAATAGCGTAAGAGTTTATTAGCAGTGATGAAATGTTTGAAGATATCAAATATTTTGATCGATCTTTTAAAGATATTAAATTATTCACACAACTTTAATTTAACACTATAACATTTATCTTAGTGGTCCATGATTACATATGAACAATCATTTTTCGCTATTACACTCTTTTCAGAAATTGCATAGAAACATTTGTTTTGTTTTCTGGCAAATTCTATATATTTTTCTCTTTATTGATGCTCATATACTTCCGATTGTTACCTTTATCTTCCCATCTATTTCTAGAAAGAAGTATGATGTTTTATTGAGTTTTAGATGTGAAGATACCTACAATAACTTTACATATCAACTATTAAGCCAAATAAAACAGAGAAAGAGATGAAAACAGACCTGTAAAACTTCATATTGCACTATAATATAACTTGTTTTGAAGCTTTCAGCGATCGTCTCCACTCTCTAGTGAACACTAGGGTTTGGGGAAAAAGGGGAAATGAATATAGGTGCGATGTGCCTCACATGTTAACATATTGGATTTAATCTCCAAATAAAATTGGGTTAATTATGGAGTTGGTCATCAGAATATCAGATTAATTAATATTTTTAAGATACTTACAAATTGGTCACCAAAATTGATTTAAGAAGATTGAGTTAAACATAAATGAATGAACATAAACGAACATAATCGAACGAACATAAACAAACATAACCGAACGAACATAATCGAACGTTCACGAACGTAAATGAACGAACGAGACCTATGTTCATGTTCGTTCATTTAATTAAACGAACAAAAAATATTGTTCATGTTCGTTTATTTAATAAATAAACGCACATAAACGAACTTCCCGCCGCACGGTTCACGAACGGTTCGCTGAACGTTCAGTTCATTTACAGGCCTACGTATGCGAGTCCGAATTGGAGGGTGAATAAGCCGCCATTCTCTGGAAAGAATCAAAGTCTAGGTTGGAATAGTCCGGATTGGAATTGGCCTGATTGGTGGATGGCAATCAAGCCCTGGGAAACCGGTGCTGTGGAAGATATTATTGAACCATCGGAGATGACGAAGAGCATGGTTTCTCGAAAAAGTGAAGATAACAAGTTCAGTTTTCACTCTGGCTCTTTTGAACATGAGCCCCTAAAAGTTATAAGGAACAATGTCACAACCAGAATTCTTGTTAGGCCTCCTGCATCCATTCTAACTTCAGGTTCATTGTCTTCCCCAAGTTCTGAGTCCGTCTATGACGACAGATCAACATCGACCTCATCCGCGTCCGTATCTCATACTACATTGTCTAGCAACACTCCTATTGCAGGCACTTCACAAGATAATCATACTCGAAAACCAGGCTACATGAACCCCACAGAGTCTATCAAAGCTAAACAGAAGAAATTCAGGTTTTCGCCGGACAATATGCGGAGGAGACGTGTGGATGATGATGATCTACAATATTTCCATAAGAAATTGATGGCACTTTCTTGCGAGGACGACACGCGCGGTGGTCCGGATTTGAATCCATCGTTAAATCAGTGGCGTCAAGGAAGACGACAATGAAATTCTTTTATGTAACAAACATATTATGAATCATACATTGAAGTCCTGCAAAACACTTTTTTCAGTGTTGTGTAAGTGAGAAGCATGTTCAAGAGAAGTTGGAATTTTGTCCTCGTTTATTTGGCTCCAAAAACCAACTAAACGCCATGAAATGTCGATGAATTCTTAAAAGGTGTATGCAATGAAGACCGCGTAGGATTTAAAGCTGGGGAATAAACTTATAAAATTTTAGAATACAATATTATAAAATTTTGGCAAAAAGACATCATATGTCTAAATTAAAAAAAAAATAAAGTGACTATCGTTTTATTTTTTTAATGTGACCCTTTAACTTATAAAATAAATTTAATGTGACTCTTAAATTAATGTTTTTCGTCGTTGACGTGGTAGTTTATGGGTTGATGTGCCAGTCCACATTGGTTGAGGGCTTGGCAGATGACAATAGTAGATAGACTAAATTGGTTTTTTTATTTTGTTTGAGGGCCAAATTATATTTTTAAGTTCAAGAGATTGTTTAATTTTTTTTAATAAAATAAAATTTATTTAAAATTATAAATATAAAATTATTAAAATATTCAAACATTTAAATATAAAATACTAAAAATAAAAATTAAACTACTAAAAATTTAAATATATATAGTAAAAATACTAAAACTATTATAATTTTTTAAAATAAGTATAAGATATAAAATAATTACTTATAATTAGTAAAAAATAAAAAAAAAATTTAAAATTAGTGTATTCTTATAATTTTTGGATTAGTTAAAATTTATTATATTTCCTAATTATCTTTTTGTAAGTCTAATTTTTGGATATTTGATGGCACGTTTTCTTTCTTCTCTTTCGCGGACATTAGCAGGCGTAATGAATTCTGTGATTTTTTATCTTGATTCTCCCATGTCATCTCTTTTTTCTTTGGGATTGTTTTTTTTTGTGATTTGATAGAGATTTATCATGTATGATCTCTCGAAGGGTGGGACTGATTGGAGGAAGTAATTTGCAACTACTGAGGAACAAACCCTAGAATTCTTTCCTCCGGTAACTCATGAGGGTTTGGTCACTGTAAAACCACCGGTTTATGTCTTTGATGATGGGATCTCAGAGTGGCGATACTCTTTGGTTGGCTAAATTATTGGGGTTACCCTAAATTTTAGATCGATAGTGAAGATTGCAGTGTGTTTTGGGGGAAACTTCTCCAGTTAAGGTTAGTCTCGATGGCCCTAACTTGTTTGTTTTTTCGTTTATCAATTCGATTATTTTGTTTTTATGCAAATAGGTACCAAATTTGTGTAAGCTCGAGTTCTATATAGTGAAAATGCCTATTTTGGTTCATTTATATAATGTTCCTCTTGAGCTCTTCTCTAAAAGGGGATTGAGCTATATTGCAAGTGCATTGGGTAATCCATTGCATATGGATTCAATCATTGATTCAAAACAACAACTTGAATTTATTAAGGTTTGTATTGAAGTTTCTACTAGATCTAAAATTCCAGAAGTTGTCAAGATCTTAATGTGTGATGGGACTATCGTAAAGGTGTATGTGGATGTGTCATGGTTCCCCCCGTGTTGCTTGAAATGTTGCATCTTTGGTCACGGATAAGTTCTGCCCTGAGGCTATTGATAAGGTTGTAGAGCCTAATAAACCTCCAGCAAATAAAGTATATGTGGTGAAGTCTGAAATGGGACAAAGGAGTTCTAAGGCTTTTGAGTTTGAAGGGAATGTGGTTTAGCAATATGTTGTAGTGCATTATGATATTAAAGAACATGAGGCTTCAAGTCAAGTTGCTCTACATCTGGATGCTGGAACTTCTAGTGTGAAAGAGGGGATTATCAATTTTGGTTGTAAGGTGTTGAGTTCCTCCAATAAGGCTAAAAAGGAAATCTAAGAAATTTAATGGAGGAGTGGCTTTTGGTAGTTCAAATAATAAGTTTATTGTATTGGCTTCTATTGATGGGGATTAGTTTTTTCCAGAGCCTAGTAAGATTAGGACGGTCTCATTTGAGGTTGTAAATCTCCTACAAGAGATAAAAGTAAAGAAAAATGACTCATTGGAGAAAATTGCTATGTGTAGTGCTTATGTTAGTAGTGCTTCTCATCCCTAGTTGTAATGAATGTATGTTTTTAGAATGTTAGAGGACTTAACAATCCTAAAAAATATGTAAAGGTGTTACAGTGTCTTAATTCTTTGCACATGGATATGATTTGTTTGTTAGAGACTCGAGTGCGAGGGTGTAATGCTTCTGATATTATTGCCCGATTTTTTGTTGTTTGGAATGTGATTTCAAATCATAATTTGACCGCTAATGGGTGTATTTGGTTTTGTAGCATAGAGAATTTGGATGTTATTACTTGTCAAGTGGCTTACAAAGTAATTTATGTGAGATGTAGTTTTTGAAATAAACAAATGTATGCTTCTATTGTGTATGGAAGGAATTTTGGTGCTGAACGAAAAGAGTTGTGGCAACAGTTAAGGGATATGGGTTGTAGGATTGGTTCAACCCCATGGATTTTAGGGTAACTTTAACATCATTGTTGATCCTATTGAGCGCTCGGATTTTGATAGATCTACTCATGTTTTTCATGTTGATATTAATGAATTTCAATCTTGCTGCCAAGATTTGGATTTGGAGGATTATCTATATGTTGGGCCCCAATTGGCGTGGTCTAATAAACATGATGGGATTTTTTTTGCCAGAAAGCTCGATAGAGTCCTTATTAATCCTTCTTGGTTGGTACATTTTTCAGATTCATTTATGAAGGTTCAGGCCTCATATCTCTCTGATCATTAATCGAATTAGGTTTAGGTTTTAGGGACCTACCTACTGGTAAACCTAAACCATTTAATTCTTTAATTTTTGGATTAACCATCATGAGTTTCTAAGGTGGTGGTTGATTCTTGGTAGGATATCATTAGTGGTTTTCCTATGAAGGTTCTTTTCTATGAAGGTTCTTTTCTAGAAGCTTAAAAGGCTTAAAATTTGTTTAAAAAGATTTAACAATGATTATTTTAATGAAATTTCTATGAAGGTTAAGTTGAAGATGGAGGAGCTTGAGAAACTACATGTTCAAAACTTATCCTCTACTGGTGTAACTGAGCAGCAGATACTTACTGATCGATCCCTACAAGATAAATTGTATGATCTTGAGAAGGTTGAATCCTTTTTCTTTAGGCAGAATACTAAAGTCAGTTGATTAGAGGATGGTGATCATGGGACAAAGTTTTTCCATAATGTTGTTGCTTCTAATCTGAATAGGAACACCATCAGAGTTGTTTATGATGAGCATGGGAAGAGGTTTGAGTCATTTAGTTTCATGGCTAATGAGGTTGTTACTTATTTGACTAAGATGGTTAGGTATATCAATCCTAATGTTACTGGTTGCGGGGTTGATACGGTCAGAGACCTGTTGGATTATTCTTTGTCTCAAGTAGAGGGGATTCTTTGATTAGGTGAGTGACTGTTAAGGAGATCAAGGATGTTGTTTTTTACTAGAGGATAATAAAACCCCTGGTCTGGATTACTTCACTCATTTGTTCTTTAAAGTTGTTTGGTTTGTGGTTGGGGGAGATTTGATTAATGTAGTAAAATACTTTATTTGCCCTACTGGATGCTTTTAATGTCAAATGTTTGACTCTTGTTCCTAAGGTCCCTAATTCATGTATGATGAATGACTTTAGACCCATTTTGTGCTGCTTAGTTGTATACAAGGTCATTACCAAAATTATAGTTGGTAGACTTAAGTCTGTTTTCCCTAGTATGATAGTTTTGAATCATACAACTTTTGTTCAGGGTCGGGATATTGTTGATAACACACTTTTCGCTCAAAAGCTTGTTAGGGGTTATGAGAGGAAGACTTTGTCCTTAAAATGTGCTCTGAAGATTGAATTGAAGAAAGCTTTTGATTATGTCACCTGAAAATTTATTCTCCTGGTCCTTAGAGATGTAGGGTTGTCTCTTGAGTTTAAAGAGTAGAACCTTGCTTATTTTACTGGCTCTCATTTTTCTGTCTCCTTCAATGGTAGCCTTGTAGATTTTTTCAATATAGCACGTAGTGTTAGGCAAGGTGATCCCTTGTCCCCTTGTTTGTGCTTGCGATGAATGTTCTTTATAAAATGTTGAATTTGATTGCAAAAAATGAAATATTTTAGTTTCATCCAAGTATAAAAAGATAAGGTTGACACATCTTTGCTTTGTTGATGATCTTTTGATCTTCTATAAGGGTAGTATGGATTTTATTATTGGTGTGCAGAGTATGATAGATAGGTTTTATTCTATTCTAGACTTAGTTTGAATGCTTGTAAGAGTGAGATCTTCATTTCTGGTGCCTCAAATGGTCAATTGGAGGTGATTAGGCAGGCTTTTGGATTTTAAACTGGAAAGTTGAATGTTCGTTATCTTGGGTGCCTCTTATCACAAGAAAACTGGCTGAAAGAGACTATTATATTCTTATTTGAAAAAATTCAGGATAAGTTCAATCAATGGGGGATAAATGGCTTAATTATGCTGGTAGATACCTTTTGATTCGGTCAGTACTGTCTAGCATGTCAAATTTCTAGTGTAGACAATTTAATTTTCCTCAGGCGGTTATTAAAAGGGTAGACTAATTGTGTGCTCGGTATTTCTTGAAAGGTGGGGAATCTGATGCTTTATGGGGCTGTGTTGGTTGGACGCAAGTTTGCTCCCTTAAGTCTGAGGAGGATCTAGGGCTTAAAGATACAAAAAATTGGAACAAAACTTGTATATTGTCTCTAATTCGTAAGATTTTGGCCAGAGAAGGTTCTTTGTGGGTCAATGCCTATATTTTGAAAGGTATAGCTTTTGGTAGTTTAAGGGAAAAATTGGTGTTAGTTTAATCCTTCAAAAGCTGTTGGATCTTCGTGATGAGGCTCACTTAGTTTTTAATACCTCACTTAATCTCTAAGGTTATTGTTTGTTGGATTTGGTGTATGAAAGGGCTAAGGGGGTTAAAGTGGCCTGGAATAAGTGTTTGTGGCTGCCCT